CAGGTGTGTTTGTTTGAAAAGCATGGCTGGAGTGTGTGAACACATGCCCAAAGAGAGGAGAATGGAGGAGAAGGGATTGGGCATCCCCCCCAGGGGGTAACTTCTCATTTTCTCTCTCTCCCCAATAAGCACACATGCCTTATGACAAAAACCTTATTTTTTTTAAAAAAAAAGGTACATCCACTGGGAAATTGGAGGAATAAGAACACCTTCAGATACTGTCAAGTGTTCTGGCTGTATTTTACCCCTGAATACGAGTATTTGTTGCTATATGTGAGGCTCCATGTGTCTTATCACTGTCTGTCTGTGTGACTTCATCATCAAAATAGTTGTGTATATCCTACGTGTGGCTTAGAAAACTATATTCACTGCCCATCCACTTGAGGCTTCATGATCAGTTAGTGAACGTTCTTCTGGAGTGGAATATAACCAATTCACTTGTCTGTGCATCTCATATTTTAAAACTCCTATAAAAATGCATCGTTTATTGATTACCTTCTACTTTCTATACCAATATAATAGTCCCCTTAGAGCAGGGGTTACAGCTAAAGAAACTTTTAATTTCAAGTAAAACCTCTATCACTTTGATTCCTCTAAGGTTCTGGACATTTATCAGCCGGGCCTCCTGAATCTCCCTCCTCCTGGCCGCCCCCGTCTCTTCTCCTCTCTCTCTGTTCTCTCTTTGGGTGCTCTGATGATTAATTATACTCAGCCGGGCCTCCTGAATCTCCCTCCTCCTGCCCCCCCACCATCTCTTCTGCATTCTCTCTGTTCTCTCTTTGGGTGCTTTGATGATTAATTTTATGTGTCAACTTGATCGGGCTGACGGATGCCCGGATACCTGGTAAAACATTATCTCTAAGTGTGTCTGTAAAGGTGTTTCTGGAGAGACTAACATTTTAGTGGGTAAACTGAGTAGAGAAGACCCACCCTCGCCATGTACACCAGCACCATCTGATTCATCAAGGGCCCAGGTAGAACACAAATCATGAAGAAAGACAAATTTACTCAGTTCTGTAGCTGAAACGTCCATCTTATCCTGCCTTTGGGCATCAGAGCTCCTGGGACTTGGGCCTTTGGACTCTGAGACTTAGACCAGAAGCTTCCCATTTCTCAGGCCTTGGGACTCATACTTAATTACCCAGCCTGCTCTCTGGGTTTTCAGCTTCCACAGGACATAGCATGGGGTATCTTGACCTCTATGACCACATAAGCCAATTCTCACAGGAGATCTCTTACATATCTGTATCTATCCTATTGTCTCTGTTTCTCTAGAGAACCCTGTCAATTCGGATTTCTTCTCATGAAGGTTTTGTTGACCTCTATGACCACATAAGCCAATTCTCACAGGAGATCTCTTACATATCTGTATCTATCCTATTGTCTCTGTTTCTCTGGAGAACCCTGTCAATGCGGGTTTCTTCTCATGAAGGTTTTTTCATCTGTCATCCTGGCTGCCTACAGCTTCTCTTGTCCTGTGGTCTTAGTGCACCTCCATTGCTTCTGACACTGAAGCACCCACCCTTGATTTCAGAAACTTAGTCTCAGATTCCTAATGGTTGGCCATGAGGCCCTGAAGACCCTATGGCGTTCTTAACCTTAGCATGGTCTGATGAAGCTACTCAGCTACTCCGGTCTTCCAGCAAGACTTATATTTCCCTCAACTCTTCTCCTTCCAGTCAGCCACCCAAGTGCCTATCAGCTCTATTTTCAATCTTAACTTTTTCTCTCACTTCTCAGGCCATGGTGGGAGCACCTCCTCACCTGAAGTTCTTTTCTATTAGTATTAGTTTTGGTGGCCATCCGTAGCCATCAGGGTTCTCCTGAGAAACAGAGCTTACAGGAAACTTATATGTATACACACACATAGATTCATTTTAAAAAGCTGGTTTATGCCACTGTAGGGCCTAGCAAACCTGAAATGGATAGGGTAGACCAGTAGGCTGACAACTCGGGTCTGAATTGATGCTGTGGTCTTGAGGCAGGACTTCTTCTCAGGGAAATCTCAGTGTCTATTCTTAAGGCCTTTCAGTGATAGAGACCCATCTGTACTGTCAAGAGTAATCCCCTTTACATTCAGTCAACTGATTGTGGATGTTAACCAGAGCTACAGAATAGCTTCACAGCAACACCTATATTAATGTTTGATTAAATAACCATGTACAGGGACCAGCAGATGGCATAATGGTTACATTGCTGGACTATCACGTAGTTGACCACGGTTTGAGTCCTGGACCCAGCGGCTTAAAACTCACACCAGGCATGTGTGCATGTGTGTCTAAAACCTTGAGAGGAGAAAAGGGAGAAGAGACTGCAGCGTGGCCATCACCCCTGGTGGGTGATTTCTCTCTTTCTGTCTCTCTGGTGAATCCATACACCCTATAGCAAAAAAGTATCTCTCTCTCTAAAAAACAAAAAACAAAACAAAAAAAACAAACAAAAATAAATAAATAAATAAATAACTATATACTGTAACCCAGCCAAACTGACTCATAAAACTAACCATCCTGTCATCTAACTGGTCACCTAAACTTTAACCCCTCCATCTTCTTCCCTTGCCTCTATGCCCCCACTGGTCTTTCCCTCTGAAACGCTGACTCGAGTCTTCATGTTTCAGCCAGTATTCCATGTCACTCTCATCTAGGAATTAGAAACATGGCATGGCATCCAAAATCTTTCTGGTTAGGGCCCCAGGTGCTTACTTTCCAGGAATCTGTGACAGTTGGCGATTACCCCTACCAGAGGGATGGTTATGTGGTCCTTTAATGCCTGATCACTCAGTAGCTTGGAAAGCACCTAGCGCATGGACTCAGCTTAGCCGCAGGGCAGCACTGGGAGGCACCACAGAGCCGAGCACATGGGGGAGAGGGCTATGCAGAAAGTGCTGGTTGGATTCAGTGAGAACTCGTGGACCTCGTCTATGAAAATACATCGATGCATATCTTCAATACGAGAGATGGAGCCAGCAAGTGGCATGGTGGTTAAGGCACTGCATTCCCACATGGCTGACCATGGTTCAAGTCCTAGACCCAACAGCCTGAAAATCACACCAGGCATGCGTGCCCAAAATGCAGAGAGGAGATTGGAGGAGAAGGGATTGTGGTGTGGCCATCGCCCCTGGAGGATGATTTCTCACTTTTCCTCTCTCTGTCTCTCTCCAGTAAGCACATGCACCCTATGGGAAAAAAAAAATCTAAATAATTAATTAATTAATTAAAGTTAAATAAAGAAGAGAGATGGAATACAGAATGCAGTGTCTAGAGAACACTATAATGTGACAACAAATTAGGTCTTATAGGCTCTACTTGTCAAAATATTGGGAAAGCTGTGTTTTCGGTGTGGCACCCCATGCTGTGCAGAGCCCCGGGCTGCGTTCCCCATACATACACCCATCAGAGTCATTACAGCCGACCCGCAATGTCCTCACCAGCTGGTTAGATTCTTTGCCCTTAATTATGTTGGTTTTAGAGACTTGATGATGTTTGCCAAATGCCACTTTCTGTCCACATCCGTGTCTTTGGGAGTCTAAGATGCCTGGATTCCTTTTTCTTTTGAGTGATTAGTAATGAACTACTGTATTTACACCCTGTCTCCTTCCATGAAGAATTCTTAGCAGCTTGCAGAAGATTTGCATGTGTTAAATAATACATGGCTCGGAGACTATAAATGGAAACGGGAGGTTGAAACGAGGGAAAAGGAGACACAGACACCCAGCCCTTGCAGACCCATGTTCCTGCTCCAGAAATGGCTTGAGTTTCTAGGGCCCACTAAGAGAGGGAAGATAGGAAGTCTCGAGTAGGGAGCAAAGATGTCACACCTCAAGGGACACAGAACTCATCTGAGAATTTAGCTTCAAGAACAATTTTGTCACCTGAGAAGGCCTTCGATTTGGGGATATATCCTTTCATTTGTTGCCCTATGCAATATATATATATATATATAATATATATATATATTCACCAAAAATATAATAGCACTATTTTTTTAATCCACTAGCTTGTATTCATCTCATTCACTCATGGTTAAAATCAAGACTTTGGAGACAAAGTACTGAATTCAAATCTCAGCTTTCTTATGGTCTGGCTGTGTGGCCCTAAACAAGTTATTTAACCACTCTGTACACTTTTTTTAAGAGAGCTTTTTTGTTATAGGGCATGTGTGCTCACCATAGAGACAGAGAGAAAAAATGAGAAATGATCCCCCAGAAGCGATAAACACACCTCAATCACTTCTTCATTCTTTTCTTGGGACGATGAGCACATAGTCACACACACCCAATGTGAATTTCAAGTCACCAGGCCTGGGACCCGAACCGTGGTCAGCCACGTAGGAGTCCAGTACCCCTGCTGGGCCCACCAGTCTGTGCTTTAACTTTATCATCTGTAAACTGGCACTTGTTTGGTACCTAGTCACTGGATTGCTGTAAGGATTAGTCATGATCATGTATGTGAATGTTGTCACTGGTATTAGTTTACAGTGCAAGGCATTCTTGGATTTTGTATTTGCATTGAAACCATAGACACAACCCAATGGCCTTAAAATATCAATAGTATTCCTGTCATCACAATGATACTTTATATGAACAAGATAAACATAATCTAATTTGAGGAAGAGGATGAAGTACCACTGTTTCTTCATAGTAAGTCCTTTTATTCACTGGGGCTTGGACCTGTGCTTCGCATTAAGCTATAACAGTGAATATAGGAACCAGCAGTTGGCGTAATGGCTATGTCTCTGGACTTGACCATGGTTCGAGTCCTGGACCCAGTGGCTTAAACTCACGCTGGGCACGTGTGCATGCGTGCCAAAGATCTCAAGAAGAGAATGGAGGAGAAGGGAGTGTGATGTGGCCATCCCCCCTGAGGGGGGGGGGGATTTCTTGCTTTCTGTCTCTCTGTCCTCTCTCTGTATTTCTGGGGAGCACACGTGCCCTGTAGCAAAAACCTCTCCAGAAAAAAAGAAAACAAAACAAAACAGTGACTATGGCCCACTCTTGCTCTCTGAGAATGACTTTTGGGGAAAGCCTTTTTGACTCTGGTAGAAATAAGTCCAGAACGTCCAGCCAAGGGAGGGGCTGCAGGAATCCGGGAAGCCTTTTCAGAGGAGAAGCACTTGTGCCAAGCCTCAGGGTCCCAGGGAACCAGCTCAGTAACATATCAGGAGACCTGAGAGAGAAAGAACAAGATTACAGAATTACAGAGGAAGGCCGTAGCTCTCGAAGACTCACACTCACGGGTCATTTGTTGTGTCTGGGGCACAGGATGTGACCGATAGGAGGGAGCAGTAGTGAGGCAGGTGACAAGGGCAAAGGACTTGGGTGCAGCCACAAGCAATGTAGAGCTTGTCCTGGAGCCCCGGAAGGATGTAAGCAGAAGAGCGTGAAGTCGCACCGTCGCCTCGCTTGCCATTTACAGAGAGCGCTCTGTGTTCTGTCTCCCGCCTAGGACACAGCATGATGGACACCTTGGCTGTAGCCCTGCGCGTGGCTGAAGAGGCCATCGAAGAGGCCATTTCCAAAGCGGAAGCCTATGGCGACAGCCTGGTAGGGCCTCCCCTTCTTTCGAGGGGGCGGTGGGGGGTTGGGGTCCTGGCCACCAAGAAAAAAGAGCAGGTTGTCAGGAAATCAGCGTCATGACAGCCTTGACTAGAATGGTGTCAGGCCTCGCCTGGCCTCCGTGGTCAGGATGTCCTTGAGAAAGCGAGCACCAAGTTCCTCCGAGCCCACCCACAGCACCCACATGTGCTCTTCCCTCCACAGGACAAGCAGAACGAGGCCAGCTACCTGCGTGACCACAAGGAGGAGCTCACGGAGGAACTGGCCACGACAATCCTACAGAAGGTGGGTAGATGGGCCGTCTGGGAGGTTGGTTTTCCCATAGGGCCCAGCCCAAGGTGGCTGATGAGCTGCAGAACAACATGGGGACTGTCCTGGGCACTTGTTCATCTGTGCTTTTTCGCCTTTGCCTTCCGCACCCTGGGGAGCAATGCAGGGCGTTGTGTTACTCTGCACACTCAAGCAGTTTGAATGCAATTGCCCTTCGGGACTGAGCGAGTGAGTGGGAAGCTGGAGCCAGCTCTGATCTACCGAGCAGGCCGCTCTTTGCCTGTTTCCTGGGCTCTGTGTGTGTGTGTGTGTGTGTGTGTGTGTGTGTGTGTGTGCGTGTGTACACACACGCTCAAATGTCCCCTTCCCACACTTCCCAAATAGTCTCCCGCTGAAGACACTTCATAGCCATAGTTGCTACCCGCATGCTGTAAGCTCTCCCTTACACAGTGGTGCCCAGTAATCACAGCTAGGAAACTAACTGCCCCACAACTCTGGTTTTATTTATTTTTTTTAAAGAATTACTTATTTAATTTTATTTATTATCATTTCTTTTTAGAGGTTTTTGCTACAGAGCACGTGCGCTCACCAGAAAGAAAGAGAGAGACAGAGTGACAGAAAGCGAGAAATCACTCCCTGTGGGGATGGCCACGCCTCAATCCCTTCTCCTCCATTCTCCTCTCTGGATTTGGGATAGGCACACACACTCGTCTGGCATCAGTTTTAAGTCACCAGGTCTGAGACTTGAACTGCAGTAGACTACGTGGGTATCCAGCAATATAACCATTATGTCATCTGCTGGTCCCCAAAACTAAGCTCTTCAGTGGCTGAAAAAGTTTCCAGAGCTGGGCCCAGTTCCTCCATATAGCATCTGGAGGCCTCTCCGTTAACTTGCTCTGTTTGTCCCACACCCTCTCCCCAGATCATAAGAAAACAGAAGAATAAAAGCGAGCAGCAGATGGAAGAAGAGCCCGAGTGGTCACAGCCTCCAAGCTGCAGTGCAAAGGTGGCAGCAGGGGAGGGGACCCTAGCCTTCCCAGGAGAGCGCCGAGCTTCCGCCAGCCTCTGGGTGAGTCCCGGGGCCATGCTGCCCACCCACACGGGGCTGGTCTTCCCACAGAGATGGGGGCACGCAGTCTCAGCGTCAGTGGCTGACTCCTGTGCCCTCTGGCCAGCATAAAGGGTGGGGACAGAGCCTGAGAGAGAAAGTGGTGTGAGTGGGGGCCAGCAGGGGTGACACAGCAGAGGCTGAGAGAGAAAACAGATATTGGTGAACGTGATGGTGGATTTTACAGAGACCAATTTAGGCAAAATTAAGATGCCTAATGTTTTTTGTTTCATTTTGTTTTGGTTTTGTTTTGTTTAGAGGTATTTGCTCTAGGGCGTGTGTGTCCGCCAGAAAGACAGAGAGACAGAGAGCGAGAAATCACCCCCCAGGGAGGATGGCCATGCCGCAATCCCTTCTCCTCCATTCTCCTCTTGGGATCTTGGGCACACACGCATATGCGCCCGGCGTGAGTTTTAAGCCACCGGGTCCGGGACTTGAACCGCGGTTGACTACATGGGAGTCCAGCGACATAGCCATTATGCCAACTGCTGGTCCCGGGAGCAGACTTCGTAAAGACAGGCAATCCAGACTGGTGAGCATACCCCCTCCTGCATGAACTCCACAGGTGCTCACCAGTCCCCGGATGTATAGGGGTTACCAGGAGCGTCTTCAGGGCTCCCTCGGAGCTGTACCTTTGGTTTTCCAGCAGAAGCTTCCCTGTCAGCCTGCTGACAGCTGAGTTTCTGCTGCTGTCATGTGTTCAACACCCAGGAGAGGGAAATAAAATCGGTCCTGGCCCTGCAGGACTTGGCACCTGGGTTAGCAAGGCACAGGGGATATGGTTAAGATTGGTTAAAAAGAGATAATGGTGGGACCAACAGCTGGCATAATGGCTATGTCGCTGGACTCCCATGTAGTCGACCGCAGTTCGAGTCCTGGACCCGGTGGCTTAAACTCACGCTGGGTGCATGTGCGTGCGTGCCCAAGATCCCGAGAGGAGAATGGAGGAGAAGGGATTGCGGCGTGGCCATCCCCCCTGGGGAGGGTGGGTGATTTCTCGCTTTCTGTCTCTCTCTGTCTGGCGAACGCACGCCCCCTATAGCAAAAAATAAAAAAAAATAAAAAAAAAAAAAAGGAGATAATGGGAGACGGTTCATAATGGGGCGCAGGATTTAAAGACTGCTCCTGGGAATGTATGTGGAATTCAGAGAAGGGAGAGATCTTCCCGACGACAAAGCGGGGAGCCCCCTAGTGGATGGAGCCGGGGACACAGACCCATCACAGGGCCTGCCGTTCAGACTTGACAGACCTGCCTTTCTGGGTTCAGGCAGCATGTACTTGTCCGTTTGCATTCGGGGAGTCTTACTGAAATTTTATTTAGAGTCAGTTGGGGGGCTCTATGAAGCACCCCACAGACAGCTATGAGCTAAGGGATCAGAGACGAGCGCAGGAGACTGTCTTCGGACCGGATCGGATCTGGATTTGCGCTTGACAGCCCCTGTGACCTCGAACAGTCTCCTGTGTGTAAAACGGGGTTAGTAAGTCCAGCCCGAAGTGCAGCTGTGAGGATTCCCCACGCCATCAACACGGTCTTGACTGTGCACGAGGCCCCGCGCTGGTGCTGCAGGAAAGCCGGGGAGCCCGCAGACGCTCTGCGACTAGTGGGGGAGCAGCTCAGAGACGTGGGAAAGGGCGCAGGTGCACAGGTCCCAGTGAGCGTTACCAAGGGGAGGCAGACCAGAGTGATGGGGCAGCTGGGAGGCCCTAAGGGGGACCAGCAGATAGCATAATGGCTATGTCCCTGGACTCCCATGTAGTCAACCGTGGTTCGAATCTCAGACCCGGTGGCTTCCACTCCCAAGGTCCTGAGAGGAGAATGGAGGAGAAGGGATTGCGGCGTGGCCATCGCCCCAGGGGGATGATTTCTCGCTTTCTGTCTCTCTGTCTCTCTCTGTCTTTCTGGCGAGGGCACGCGCCCTATAGGAAAAACCTCTCAAATAAATAAATAAGAGTAAACTGAGCCCAAACTAACCTGAGCTACTGGAACTCGGATGTCGGCACAAGAACCCCGGTCTCCCAGGCCCAAGCGTTTCCTGCACTCCGCTGTTTGCTGTTTTGCTGGGGCACTCTGGCCATAGAAGGCCCTTTCTCCACCAGATGTTCACCTGGTTTTCTTGCTGTGTTTGTGGTTAAAGCTGGAAATGGCGTTCCTTCCTACTCCTAGAGACTGAGACTCTCAGTGTCACGGGAGGTGTGGACAGAGGGCTCTGTGCCATGAGTCAGGACAGTGGGCACAGCCGTGTTCCAGCAGGACCACAGTGGTGTCTGACCCACCAGCCCGCAGTCCTCAGCCACCGGCCACCACTGGCCGAGAGCAGCTGAAGATACACAGCCGTCTAGCTTCCCCAGGGATCTTCCACTGGGCTCCTCGGCTCCTGGGGGGATATCCGTCCACCATGGATGCAGGCATGGCCGTGGGCTGTTTTCACTCCCAGAGACATTTAGAGGCACAGCCCACAGCCTCCCAGACCCCTGTTTGGTCTGCTGAAGAAATACTTCAAGGATTGATTTGACTTTCTTGTCTGAAAATCCGCCTTGCCAAATACCCGCCTCCCGTGCACGAACTCATGGCTGCAGCTCTGACACCAAGACAATCTCAGTATTTCTGACTTCCTTTTCCCCTAGAAGCAAGTAGCAGAATATGGTTTTGTTTTATTTTGTTTTTGTTTTGTTTTGCCATAGGGGGCGTGCGCTTGCCAGAAAGACAAAGACAGAGAGACAGAAAGTGAGAAATCACCTCCCGGGGGGGATGGTCACGCCGCAATCCCTTCTCCTTCATTCTCCTCTCGGGATCTTGGGCACGCACGCACACATGCCCGGCGTGAGTTTAAGCCACTGGGTCCAGGACTCGAACCGCGGTCGACTATGTGGGAGTCCAGTGACATAGCCATTATGCTAACTGCTGGTCCCAGGGGTCAGTTGTTTCCAAAGCCTCAAGATGCAGTACCCTAGAGGGCACTCGTGTGGGGTTCTGATTCATTTCAATGCCTCTGTGGGTTTGTGTACATATAGCGTTGTCTCCATGAAAACCTGGTGAGCGGTCGATAATGACAATGACAACAGCAGGGGCAATGATAATGATGACAATGACAACACTATTGCGCAGTGCCTAGAGGCATCCGTCTGACTCTACGCCACCTCTATCCCTTTCTATTTGTCTGTCTTTTCTCTTTGTGTCTGTCTCTTCCTCCTTCACATCCACTCTCCCCTGTGGCTGTCATATAGAACTCCAAGACTCTTCAGTATTATTATAAGTGCTGGATTTAATTGTCTGCCTATGGCTGACCCTAAAAATAGAAAACAAAGCTACTTCTCAGTTGTTGATTCACACAAGCGCTCTGAGGATCCTGTTGGCCCAGAACCCTTGACACAGAAAACACCATCTCCCTGGTTTTTATTGCGGGCTCTTTGAGAGCAAAGGCAGATTTGAAGCCAATCGTAGCAACGATGTATCGTTGTAAGGTTGATACCGTTTAGGTAGATGGCAGCATTGCCCACACTGAGTGGGAGGGTATTCAAGGCGACTGGTGATTACACTGGGGATTTGGCCCAAAGCTTCAGAGCCAGGTGGTTCAGATGCCAAGTTACACTGAGTTGGAGCATGTTAGCCAGGAGCTCATGCAAATGGAGGTGATGGGATTATTTGAGTAATCTGCTTTTCCCACCAAGTCTAGGTCTGCACAAGAGGCCGGGCCGATGATATTGTTGGGGCTAGCCTGCATTACAGCGTCGCACATCCATGCAAGGGGCTTTCATGATTGGGCGAGTCCCAGGTCCCCAGCAAAGGCTGGGCAGATGCCCACAGAGGAAGGAGGAGCGCCCCCTAGAGCCAGACAGATGGGAGTGCAGCCCTGCCACTGCCCCTTGACCACCTGTGTGCATTGGGCAATGTATTCCGCCCTGACTTGCTTTACTCCGGTGCACCCGATCAGGCTGAGAGAATGAATGCACTGCACGGCTCGGTGGTAGAACTTAATCTTGGGCAATGTATTCCGCCCTGACTTGCTTTACTCCGGTGCACCCGATCAGGCTGAGAGAATGAATGCACGGCTCGGTGGTAAAACTTAATCATTTCTTCTACGTTGGCCAATATACGCCGGGTACTTTGTCTGTGCCAGGCAGGATACTCATCCCTTAACGTGAGGAAACTGAGGCTGAAGGACCAGCAGTTGGCATAATGGCTACGTTGCTGAACTCCCATGTAGTCGACTGGTTCAAGTCCTGGACCCGGTGGCTTAAACCCACGCCGGGCATGTGTGCGTGTGTGCCCAAGATCCCGAGAGGAGGATGGAGGAAAAGGGATTGCGGCATGACCATCCCCCCTGGGGGTGGGGGATTTCTCACTTTCTGTCTCTCTGTCTCTCTCTGTCTTCCTGGTGAGTGCACGTGCCCTATAGCAAAAGCCTCTCCAAAAAAAAAAAGAAAGAAACTGAGACTGAGAACAGATGAAGGTCCCTCAAGATCCCAGATAGCAGGAGGAGGGCTGGCATTGATCTGCTACCGAGTCCCATCTCTGCATGGCATTGCTGATGTGCCAGCCCTCCAGGGCCCACGGACTCGCCCAGTCATGAGCAGCCCCTTGCATGGGTGTGTGACACTGTAATGCAGCCTAGCCCTAACACATTTCAGCAGTCTGGCCTCTTCTGCAGACCCTAGGGTTGGTAAAAAGCAGGGGAAAGCAGATTACTCCAATAATCCCATTACTCCCCAGGGAGCCAGAGAAGTTGAACTGTAGCTGTGAGTAAACGCATTGCTGCGGCGCCATCTGCTGGGCATAGCCATGAATTGTGGCAAAACCAGGTCTGCATCTCAGAGCTACAACTTTTCCGCCCTAGCTAGAGACTGGGCCAGCTGGGTCCTGGGACCTGTTGGAGACAGTTCTCTTGGGCCTTTTGTGATCGTCAGAGGATAAGTTGTTTTTTTCCTAGTGTGGAACAATGGCCTGAAACTTGATATCCCCAACTCTTGAAAAACAGAACCCAGCTTCCGTTTGGAACCAGAGCAGGACTTTCTGTGGATGATCTTGGCTTCTGTAGAGGGTAGGATAGCATTCGTATCCCGTAAAAATGGACTCCGGCCAGTTTACAGACAGACAGACGCACGTAAAATGCAGCTTGAGCCACTACAATATGAAATAGCGAATGTTTGTTCAGTACTTTGCAGTGAGAAGCTTTGGGGTAGTTTAAAGGGGGCGTCGCTCTGTGAGGCTGCCACAGCTCTACATCCGGAAATGAGACTGTCAGTCCATGAGGCCCAGGAGAAGCTCGTACATCCCCAACTCAGTCACCAACATGGGCCCAAGGGTCACACACGAAAAGCCTTCCCCAGCTCCCAGGACCTCGCTGTGGGAGAGCCGGCCGGCCATGAACATGAAGGCCCAGGCGCTGACAGGAGGGGAAGACTTGCCAAGCCCGGGTGGCATCAGCGCTCAGCGAGGGTCCCTTAGCACGTGAGGTTTTGCTAAAGAAGGATGTCTCCTTCGCTTTTATTTATTTTTCTATTTCTGTTTATTATAAATGTTAATTTTTTTTGCTTTCCATTCCTTTATTCTTTCCTGCATTTCATTGATTCGCAAAATATCTTAATTGATCTAAATATTTTTTATAGCAAGTTCAGCTGATACAGACATATCTATGAACAAAAGTTGACTTCAGGCAGGAAACGCTGTGGGTAGAATGAACATATCATAAAGTAGCACCTAGCTGAGGCTGTATAGCTTACCGTGGTCATTCAATAGGTTTTTTTTAATTATATTTTTTAACTTTAAGAAAGGCAGTTTAGCATTAATAAATCAAAATCAAAACATGTTAAGAGAACTTTACTTCAGACTTAAAGCCAGGAAACAGGTTAGGATTCTGTTTGAATGGTAGGTACATGGGCCTGTCCACAACTCACGAGAGGACAAAACTCCTGAACTCGGGAAAACAAAGCAGAGAAGGTCAGTAATGTTTTAGTCACACAATTCTATTTCACCAGTTCGGGCTCATGCACTTTATCTTCTGTTGGGGTCCAATCTTTCCGTTTAAATTTTGGAACATAACGTTCAACTCTGGACTTGTCCCTACCATTAAGTTGGCCATTTTCTTAGTTGTTTTAGAACTTTCTTTCTTTCTTTCTTTCTTTCTTTCTTTCTTTCTTTCTTTCTTTCTTTCTTTCTTTCTTTCTTT